ACTTGTACCTCTGCAACTTGTGCCTCTGCAACTTGTACCTGTGTAACTTGTACCTCTGCAACTTGTACCTCTGTAACTTGTACCTCTGTAACTTGTACCTCTGCAACTTGTGCCTCTGCAACTTGTACCTCTGTAACTTGTACCTCTGCAACTTGTGCCTCTGCAACTTGTACTTCTGCAACTTGTACCTCTGCAACTTGTGCCTCTGCAACTTGTACCTCTGCAACTTGTACCTCTGCAACTTGTGCCTCTGCAACTTGTACCTCTGTAACTTGTACCTCTGCAACTTGTACCTCTGCAACTTGTACCTCTGCAACTTGTGCCTCTGCAACTTGTACCTCTGCAACTTGTACCTCTGCAACTTGTACCTCTGCAACTTGTACCTCTGCAACTTGTACCTCTGCAACTTGTGCCTCTGCAACTTGTACCTCTGCAACTTGTACCTCTGCAACTTGTACCTCTGTAACTTGTACCTCTGCAACTTGTACCTCTGTAACTTGTACCTCTGCAACTTGTACCTCTGCAACTTGTACCTCTGCAACTTGTACCTCTGCAACTTGTACCTCGTAACTTGTACCTCTGCAACTTGTACCTCTGCAACTTGTACCTCTGCAACTTGTACCTCTGCAACTTGTACCTCTGCAACTTGTGCCTTGCAACTTGTACCTCTGCAACTTGTACCTCTGCAACTTGTACCTCTGTAACTTGTACCTCTGCAACTTGTACCTCTGTAACTTGTACCTCTGCAACTTGTACCTCTGCAACTTGTACCTCTGCAACTTGTACCTCTGCAACTTGTACCTCTGCAACTTGTACCTCTGCAACTTGTGCCTCTGCAACTTGTACCTCTGCAACTTGTACCTCTGCAACTTGTACCTCTGTAACTTGTACCTCTGCAACTTGTACCTCTGTAACTTGTACCTCTGCAACTTGTACCTCTGCAACTTGTACCTCTGCAACTTGTACCTCTGCAACTTGAAGATTGAGACACTTATACAGCATATGGGAATCTTTATTCAGGAAACGTTTCGCCACACAGTGGCTTCATCAGTCCAATACAAAGAGGAATGCGTAAGGAGAGGAGGAGAATGAGGTAATCAGTCCCTCAACCTGGAGTCGATGTGTTCAGTCCATCAATCTTGTAGAATGTACAGCATAGGGCCGTAGACGTGGCTTATATACTGTAGTGAGGTGACGTGAAGCAGATGGAGGCGGGGTCATAGTGGTACCATCCACTAGTCGAAGTAGGTTCGTCCAAAAGTTGAACAAGTGTTGAAGAATTCTTTGTAACAAGACCCCATGATGCTGCCGTGTCTGACAGTTGTACCTGTCAGACACGGCAGCATCATGGGGTCTTGTTACAAAGAATTCTTCAACACTTGTTCAACCTTTGGACGAAGACCTACTTCGACTAGTGGATGGTACCACTATGACCCCGCCTCCATCTGCTTCACGTCACCTCACTACAGTATATAAGCCACGTCTACGGCCCTATGCTGTACATTCTACAAGATTGATGGACTGAACACATCGACTCCAGGTTGAGGGACTGATTACCTCATTCTCCTCCTCTCCTTACGCATTCCTCTTTGTATTGGACTGATGAAGCCACTGTGTGGCGAAACGTTTCCTGAATAAAGATTCCCATATGCTGTATAAGTGTCTCAATCTTCAACTTGTCGGTTTTTCAAACCATTCATCACCTCTGCAACTTGTACCTCTGTAACTTGTACCTCTGCAACTTGTATCTTTATTTCATTCAACTGTTATTATTACCTAGTCATGATATCTTTATGAAGCAGGTGGAGATATAAAATACCGACACGATGGAAAAATAGACATATGCAGTATAATGCGATCCATTATTAACAACGTTTCGCCCACACAGTGGACTTTAAGTCACAACAAGATCTACCTGGGTAAAGAGTACACAGGTGTATATAGGGTGGAAAGTCAAGTGACTTCCACACTATATATACTCATTTATTCTACCTAGGTAGATCTGAATGTTAAAATGATATAAAATACCGACAGGTTGTTTGTAAAGGCTTGACAAAGCTCCTGGAGAGCGAAACGTTGCCACAATAAAATGTCACATTAGTTGCACTTGTGTCCTTTTACTTTACATAGACACATATGCAACAATTAGGTATCTAACTGTTGCATGTGTCTTATCAGGTAGATCTGTTTGTGACTTAACAAAGTCCGCTGTGTGGGCGAAACGTAATCATTTGTGTTTATTTTTCGATGGGGCAGGTGTGTGAGTAGTCTACTCAGGGTAGAAGTTGGCTGTCAGCTGTGGAGGTCACAGTATCGTGCTACAAACTGCTTGCCTCACCCCTCCCTCTCTTCCTCTACCTGCTATTGTTGATGTTATTGTCACAATCATTGGGAAAAATCGCCTGACACGGGTCTTTGTCGTGTCATAACCCCTTCAGAGGTGCCGTTGACCCTGGGGATAAATTTAGATTTAGTATATAGTGAAGCATTGGTTGACAGAAGCGTCTGTATGCAGTGTAAGAGAAACTGGCTGGAACTTACTTTACATATGAACACAAGTGGGACCCTTGCTAACCTACACCCACTCATGCACCCGTCCAACATATATTTATAACACTCAGGTGTTTACTATGGATTTAAGTATAGTACTTAGATGGGTAAGAACTAGGTAACTTAAGTAAGGAGTAGGTAAAACAAATCATTAATGATTCTTCGAGTCGAATCATTAATGATTCTTCGAGTCGATAGGCTTTAAATTTAAATACTTAATCTAAGAGTCACAAGGAAGGGCCTTCAATGGTTTGAAACTAATTTTGCCCAGTTTAAAGGTGAGTCGAAAACTATATTTAGTGCTGTGGGAGCGGATGTGGTGGTTACCTTGTGTGTAGTGTTTGGCCATCAAGGTCACCCAAGCGAGGTGGTCACTGCTCCCTCCAGTGTCTTGTCTGGTCCAGACTGTCTCAACCGTCACCACATACTGCTGCACTCTCCAAGGCTTTCTTCCATGGTATCTTAGGGTATGGAACTCAGTACAAGGTTAACTAAGGGCGAAATGTTTTCTTAATAAATATCCTAAGTGTTGCCCATTTGTCTCTACACTACGGCATAAAATTTACACATGCCATCTTGTAGGTTTCTCTCTCAATGGCTGTCAGTGTCTTGAGTGCAGATATCGTACAGGCTAAGAGTCTTGCACGTGTTGTGTACCTCTTGCACGTTGATGATTTAGACACTTGCGCAACACTTGTGTTATCTTTATTGTGGAAACGTTTCGTCAACCAGTGGCTTCCTCAGTCCAATACACAGAAGAATGATGAAATTAAGACACATGTGCAACATCTGGGTATGTTTATTGTAGACGTTTCGCCATCCAGTGGCTTTATCAATACAAATTCCAGGACATAACTTGAAGACAGTAGGACTATATACAGAAGATGAGGTAATCAGTCCCTCAACCAAGGAGTAGGTGCGAAGAGCACCATGATCGCATTTGTCAAATGCTTTTGCAAAGTCTGTGTATATTACATCTGCATTCTGATTTTCTTCCAGTGCATCCAAGGCCATATCATAGTGATCCAGTAGTTGTGAGAGGCAGGAGCGACCTGCCCTGAACCCATGTTGCCCTGGATTGTGCAGATTTTGGGAATCCAGGTGATTTACAATCCTGCTTCTTGGCACTCTTTCAAAGATTTTTATGCTCTATAGTTCTTAGCTAATGCTTTGCTGCCACCTTTATGGAGTGGGGCTATATACGTTGTTTTAAGTGACTGTGGAATTTCACCCATGTCCAAGCTCCTCCTCCATAGTGTACTTTGGGCACGCGAGAGGGGTTTCTTGCAGTTCTTAATGGAAACAGAGTTCCACGAGTCTGGGCCCGGGGCTGAGTGCATGGGCATGCTGTTAATGGCTTTTTCGAAATCTATCGGAGTTAGGGTAATGTCGGAAATCTGGCATACATATATGGAGTTTTGAGGCTCATTCATGAAGAAATCATTTGGGTCGTCGATCCTCAGACCGATTAGTGGTTCACTAAACACAGAGTCGTACTGGGATTTCAATATTTCACTCATTTCCTTGTTGTCATCTGTGTAAGTCCCATCCTGTCTGAGTAAGGGCCCGATACTAGATGTGGTATTTGCCTTGTTTTTGGCACATGAAAAGAAATATTTTGAATTTCTTTCAATTTCACTAATAGCTTTAAGCTCCTCCTGTCTCTCCTGTTTCCTGTAAAAGTCATTTAACTTAAGTTCGATAGTTTCCACTTCCCTGGTCAGCGCCTCCTTTCGTGTATTAGATATTCTAGCACTCCTGAGGAGCTCAGTGACTCTTCGTCGTCTTCTGTAGAGGGAGCATCTTTCTCTCTCCAGTTTACTCCTGTTCTTCTTTCTTAGGGGAATATGCCTAGAACATGCTTCGGCTGCCAGGAAGTTGATCCTTTCAAGGCACTGGTTTGGATCCATGTCATTTAAGACATCTTCCCAACATGTGAATCATTCATCTACAGACCTGTACGTGTTGTATACCTCCTGCGCATGTTGTATACCTCCTGCGCGTGTTGTATACCTCCTGCACGTGTTGTATACCTCTTGCACGTGTTGTATACCTCCTGCACGTGTTGTATACCTCCTGCACGTGTTGTATACCTCCTGCACGTGTTGTATACCTCTTGCACGTATTGCGCACCTCTTGCCCACTTTGTGTATCTTGTATGTATTGCGTATATAATTGCATTTAGTGTATGCATCGAATATTTCACATATATGAGATGTATTATGTAAATACTGGACGTATTATATGTATCTTTTGTACGCATTGTGTACTCACAACGGTATGTATCTTGTATATATGTTGTGTAAGTCAATAAGTGTAAAGGAACTTGGACTCTTCAACACCCTCCCTTCGTACATAAGGGGAATTACCAACACCCCCTAGCTGTCTGCAGGAGGGTACTTGATAAATTCCTCAAGTCAGTACCTTATCAGCCAGGCTGTGGTTAATACGCTGGACTTCGTGGGGAGGGCAGCAATAGCCTGGTTGATCAGACCAGCAGCCAGAAGGCCTGATATATCTTTACCTTCGATGAGTTTCGAGTCTCTGAGCCAGGTCGGTCTAGAACTGGGCCACGGCGCCCCGCGGGGCTGTGGCTTTCTGAAATGATTACATGTAATGTACAGGTATCAATATTGGACGTCTTACATAGGTATTGTAAGTATGATATATGTCTTGTACACATATGTTCTATGTATTATGAATATGTTGCATGTATTATGTATATGTTGCATGTGTTTTGTATATGTTGCATATGTTATGTATATGTATGTATTATGTATATGCTACATGTATTATGTATCTGTTGCATATATTATGTATCTGTTGCATATATTATGTATCTGTTGCATATATTATGTATCTGTTGCAAGTATTATGTATCTATTGCATGTATTATGTAACGCGCATGTTATGTATTCCTTGGTCTTAACACATCTTTCGCAGCCTCTCTTCTCTCAAAATATTAATTGTTCAGATTTTCTGACTAGATATCTGCAGAGATGTGTGCCCCCTTTGTGGGCACCAGGAGGCCATAATGGTCAGGCGAACTAAAATAATAAGAGGCTGTCTTGCGAGGCTGTGTGGCATCAAACCTTGCCGGTTCATCCCACGCTCTGGAGAGGTGACCACCATGTTCCTTGCCCGAGGAGGAGGGCGTGTTCCACTGCCCATCCAGGGACGTGGGAACACAGCTGAAATATGTTAGGTAAAAATGACACAAGTGTAACTAATGTGGCAACGTTTCGCTCTCCAGGAGCTTTGTCAAGCCACAATAAAATGTCACATTAGTTGCACTTGTGTCGGTAATTCTATCAACATTATTACAGCTGAAATAAGAACATATGAATGAAGGAGCACTGCAATAAGTCATCTAGCCAATACATGCTAGGCAGGGCCTTATCAAAATTTTCTCACTCATGGATGGAGAGGAGACCACGGTACGGGTGGAATTAAAACCCATGGCAAGTGAGTCGTATTATTATTATTATTATTATCAAAAAGAAGCGCTAAACCTGCAAGGGCCATACAGCGCAGCATGGCAGGCAAGCAAGAGAGGGATGATTATTAGGGTAGGGAGTGCAGCGGGACAGTGGATAGTGCAAGGGTAGAAGGTAGCAAAAGATTAAAGAGAAAGGGCTGTGGGGAGTGCGAGAGTTATTGTCATCAGAGTTTGTGCAGTAAATCAGTTGCCGTCAAAAAGTCAATGAGAGAGTCTGGGTTAAAGGCGGATCCATCAGCAAGAAGGGAAGGTAAAGTAAGGGCAGTAAGAACATAAGAACATAAGAACGAAGGAACACTGCAGAAGGCCTACTGGCCCATGCGAGGCAGGTCCAAGTCTCCTACCGGCTTAAGCCAATGCACCCAACCTAGTCAGGTCAGGTCACATTGACTTAAGGTAGGAACACGGCAACCGACCTGGTAGCACAAGCTATCAGGTCCAACTCACACCCACCCACATCCACTCATGTATTTATCCAACCTATTTTTAAAGCTACACAACGTTCTGGCCTCTATAACTGTACTCGTGAGTTTGTTCCACTCATCCACAACTCTATTACCAAACCAGTACTTTCCTATATCCTTCCTGAATCTGAATTTTTCCAACTTAAAACCATTGCTGCGAGTCCTGTCTAGGCTAGATATTTTCAGCACACTATTTACATCCCCTTTATTTATTCCTGTCTTCCATTTATACACCTCAATCATATCCCCCCTAATTCTACGTCTTTCTAGAGAGTGCAGTTTCAGGGCCCTTAGTCTATCCTCATAGGGAAGGTAAGAGAGTCGTAAAATCCAGACCAGTGCGCAAGCCACTGGGCCAGCTGGCTACAGTAAGATTAATCCAGCATTACTATGGTGTATAAATATACCTAGTTGGATTAATCTTATTGTAGCCAGCTGACCCAGTGGCTAACGCACTGGCCTGGAGTTTTAAGATTCACTTGCCATGGAGAACAGGCATGGTGATACCGACACAATGTGGATAACCACAACGTTTGTAGATGGATGGTTCAGAGAACCGACATGTTGATAAATTAGACACATGTGCAACTCTTGGGTATCTTTATTGAGGAAACGTTTCGCCACACAGTGGCTTGAACATCAGGAGGAGAATGAGGTAATCAGTCCCTCAACCTTGAGTCGATGTGTTCAGTCCATCGGTTCTCTGAACCATTCATCTACAAACCTGTCAGACACTGCAACTTCTTGGGATCTTAATACTTAGGAATTCTTCGCTTGCCTAATTCTTGGGCACGACCTACTTCAACATTGAACAAATGTGACACTACCTATGACTGCTGCACCTCTCCTGCCATACGGTTTATAAGCTCCTTCTCCGCTCATCTGCCATATTCTACTCAAGATTGATGGACTGAACACATCGACTCAAGGTTGAGGGACTGATTACCTCATTCTCCTCCTGTTCTTCAAGTTTCTCCTATGTATGGACTGATGAAGCCACTGTGTGGCGAAACGTTTCCTCAATAAAGATACCCAAGAGTTGCACATGTGTCTAATTTATCAACCACAACGTACAGGGCATTTATTGACGAAAAGTTTATCCAAGAGTGACTTCTCCAGCCTCCCTTATGGACTGTTTACATCATCTTCATTTCACTACTACACCTGCTGCCTCTGTATCTGACTGAAGAAGCCTACTATGTAGGTGAAACGTTTCAACAAAAAAGATACCCAACTGTTGCATGTCTTAATCATCTCCCTAAAATTGCATAGCTAAAGCAAGCTATATTTACAGTAAAGAGAGACAGACGAAGAGGAGTACAAGTACTGTGGAAAATACTGTATATTTTCCGGAAATACGGTAATTTATAGGTAAATAGATGCCCTATATTGTATTTAATAAAAGTGTATTTTTAAAAAGAGGAGTCGCCATTTTGTTTGAATGGAGTAAGACGTTAATTAATAATGTGAAGAATTTTCGTGCTCTAGAGGTTAAAATTGGGCGACACCTCTCAAATAGGAGGCGAAATTGTTGGATGTGCATTCCTGCATAACTTGAGATATCAGGCGACTAGACAAGACAGCTCCAGGAACCTCAGATAAGTCTTATGTAGTAACCTGGCCAGTGTTATTTTCATAGACAGTGAGGTTTTCTGAGTATGATATACATTAATCTCCAGTCAAATTGGTGAGTGATATTAAGATAATTTCCTTCTGTTATGTAAATGTGTGTATATACTATAATCCTTTTTTAATTTTAATATATAGTCCACAAATTTATATATTTACCAGCATTCCTGGTGATGTATATTTCATTTAATTAATAGGTCCAAGAAAATTGTGGATATGCAGTGGTAGGTATCGAAGGGGGAATTTTTGCGACTGGGTGTCCCAAATTCCTACTGGCTAACTGATAAATAATAATTATCTATGTTCTTTTCGTTAGGGTATATAATGATACATTCAGATAAATGCAATTTTTCCCACAAGTACTAACAGTGGAGATGAAGGGGGGCAGTATACCTTGTGGCCGCGTCATCTAAATCAATACCAGATTACGTGTAACCCACTCTGGAAAGTTTTTGGGAAATATAAATATTTCATTTTTTGTGGGGGGTTTTGATGAAAAACACCATGTGGCGCCTTAAAACAAAAACATGGCAAGCGTCTGTTCTCAGAAAATACTGAAACATGGGGGGGCACTACAGGGGGCCCCTGAGTGTTTACTTGTCGGGCAGGCGTGCTGTTACGTAGTATTCTTTTTTTTTTACGATCTTAGTTCCAGAGATCTTGCCGTTTCGCCCACACACTTCGTCCACACCCTCGAAAAAATAGGATGTAAACTGCGTTGGTGATTTGTTTTTTTTTTGATTCTTACTGAATCCGTAAAGGGTGCATAAAAATTAAATATTTAAAAATTAGGATAGGTTGGATTTTGGTTATCCAAAATAAAAAAAATTATTAATTGCTCGAGGATAGATTTCTCGTCTCATAATAAATCAGAAAAAATGGGCAGCAGCGGTCGGGCAGTATAAGGGACAACGATAAGGGCCCCCTGGCCAGAATTTCTTGACTTTATGAACCTTTACAGTGATTCCCCGGGGAATATCGAAGTGGCTTCCTGTGTTTTTTGTTTCCTATGAGGTTTGGCGCTTTTTTTTGATAAAATAATTATAATAATAATAATAAAAATAAAAAAATAATTTTTTTTTTATTATCACACTGGCCGATTCCCCCCAAGGAGGGTGGCCCGAAAAAGAAAAACTTTCCCCCACATTCACTCCATCACTTCTTGCCGAGGGTTTTTTACACTACAGTTTTAAAACTGAACATTAACACCCCTCCTTCAGAGTGCAGGCACTGTACTTCCATCTCCAGGATCAAGCCGGCCTCCCGGGTTTTCCTGAATCCCTTCATAAATTTTATTTTGCCCCAACCCCAACAGACGTCAAGTATTAAAAACATTTGTCTCCTTTCACTCCTTCAAACACCCCACGGCCTGCGGGAAAGCCCAAACCCCCCTCGCCACAAAAACCCCTTTACCCCCCCTCCAACCCTTTTTAGGGGGACCCCTCCCCGCCTTCCTTCCCCTAGACTGATACATCTTGAAGTTTTTCTGTTCGCTCCATTCTCTCTACATGTCCGAAAACCCCCTAACAACCCCTTTCCCCAGCCCTTGGACAACAGTTTTGGTAATCCCGCACCTCCTCCCAACTCCAAACTACGTTCTCGTTATATTCACACCACACATTGCCCTCAGACATGACATCTCCACGCCTCCAGCCTTCTCCTCGCTGCAACATTATCACCGCTTCACACCATAAAGAGCGTTTGGTTAAAAAAAATAACTCCTACATTCCCTCTTTGCCTCCAAGGACAAAGTTTCTGTCCCACAGACTCCCAAAATGCACCACTCACTTTTTTCCCTCATCAAATTTTATGATTACCCATCTTTCTAACCCATCCCTGACACTCCACCCCAAATATCTGAATACGTTCCCTCCTCCATATCTCTCCCTCCAATCTGATATTCAATCTTTTTTCACCTAATCTTTTTTTTACCCCATAACCCTTTCTCTTTCCTTATTCACCTTTAATTTTCTTTTTTGCACACCCACCAAATTTCACCAAAACTCTGCAGCTTCTCTTCAGAATTCCCAAAACACGTGTCTCAGCAAAGAGCACTGTGACCCAAACCCCCCCCCGGGTGATTCTTTATCTTTTAAATCCAGCCTCTTTCCAAGGAACCCTCGATTTTTCTTTACAACCCCCCTAAAATATATTAAACAACCCCGTGACATCACCATCCTTGTCTAAGGCCTACTTTTACGGGAAAAAAAATTTCCCCCTTTTCTACTATCAACTTGAGCCCCATATCCTCGTAAAAAACTCTTCACTGCTTTCAGTAACCTACCCCTACACCATACACTTTGAACATCTGCCACATTTCCCCCCCCATCCACCCCTCTACGCCTTTTTTTCCCAAAACCATAAATGCCACAAAGACCCTTTGCCTTATCTAAAATGTTCATTATATGTTTAATGAAAAAACCCTGGGCCCCCACACCCCTACCTTTCCCAAAACTCCTTGTTCATCTGCTATCCTATTCTCCGTCTTACTCTTAATTTTCAATTTTAAATCACCATACACTTTACCCGGGACACTCAACAGCTTATCCCCCTTAATTTTTGCACTCTCTTTTTTCCCCCCTTTTCCTTTATACAAAGG